GCCACGCGCTGGCGGATTTGCCTCCGCGCGGCAACCCCCCCCCCCGGGATTTGCTCCCCGCGCCGGCAGCACCGTCCCCGCACCGGGAGCACCGTCCCCGCACCGGGGCCGACATTTCGGTTCTGCGCCGGACGCATCCCCCTGCCGCCCATCGCCTCAGCACCGCGGCTGCGGCGCACATGCCCAGTGGGGCACCGGCAGCACCCGCTGCCCAAAGCCTCCCCGTTGTCAGGGGGGTCCCCAAAAGGTGCGGGGGAGCCGCGCGGCAGGGCCGGACCCGGTGGCAAGCCCGTGGCTCCCTCAGCAGCACCCCAAAACCGCGCGGTGCCCCCCAGCCCGCGGCAGGGCCCTCACGGCCACGAGGAGCAGTGACAGCGGCCCTTTTGGGGTGACAGTGGCCCTTTGGGGCGCTGCTGCCCGCCGAGGGTTTTGGGGCATGGGGAGGGGAGGGGAGGCAGCCGAGGGCAGCGGGGTCGAAGCTGCAGCCCCCCAGCGAGGCCCCAAAAGGGTCCCACCCCCCCAGCCACGCCAGGGGGTGGCCCTGGGGAGGGGGGGGCCTGGGGACACCCCGGCTCTGGGGGAGCCCTGGGGTGAGGGAGACAGGCACCGGGGGGGCGGTGGGGCTGAGCCCAGCACCGAGGGCTGCAGGGACACGGGGGTGCCAGGTCGGCCCCCCCTCCAAGTAGGGCACCGGGAGGTGCTGGTGCAGTGGGGTCCCCCTCCCCCAGCCCCCCAGGACGAGCTGGACCCCCCAAAGCCCAGGGACTGGGATGGGGCCACAGGGGCGATGGAGAGGGGTGGGTGCAGGGCAGGGGGACAGGGACAGGGCCGGGGACCCCAGCACAGGGATGGGGACCCAGGGCAGGGGGCTGGGGACAGGGATGTGGCATGGGGACAGGGACCCCAATGCAGGGCAGGGGGACGGGGTCCCCAGCGTGGGGATGGGGACCTCATGCAAGGCAGGGAGAGGGGGACCCCAGCACGGGGACGGGGAGCTGGTGCAGGGCAGGGG